GTATCTTACTTACTCTACATCTACATGTTTTTCCCCCTCTTCTAGTCACTAAGATCTGTAACGGTAGAGACAGTAGCTACTTTGGCCTTGTGTCCTCCATCATCTCCAGCACAAAACAGGAAGACAGGCTAGGCATGGTGACTCACAGCTATAATCACAGCACTTTGGGACGCCAAGGCAGGTGGATCACAAGGTCAAGAGATCGAGACCATTCTGGCCAACAGGGTGAAACTTCATCTTTGCTAAAAATACAAAAATTAGCTGGGCATGCTGGCACGCACCTGTAGTCCCAGCTACTCGAGAGGCTGAGGCAGGAGAATGGCTTGAACCTGGGAGGCAGAGATCACGCCACTGCACTCCAGCCTGACGATGGAGCAAGACTCTGTCTCAAATCAAACTAACAAATAAGACAGGAAGACACCTGCTACATAGAGTATCTGAATATCTGGGCATCAGTGTTCTTCAGGCATTTCATGCATTCTGTATCCCCAATCGTAAGATTTCTCAAGAATCGTTTTTTGTTTTTTTTCTGAAAGATCAAACAATGTTCCACTCTTATTGTGTACTTTGTCAAATGAGAACTTATTAACTATCCAAAATAATGGTTAAGTTATTCACATCCACCCAATGCCTTTCTTAATGATATATGCCAACCATGTTTAAAAAAAAAACAAAAAAATTCAACACCTTAAACATACCAATCCTCACCATTAACGCATAAAGGAGCACATAAAAATGGATCCTATACAAAAATGATCCAAATGTAAAAGCTATTACCCTTTAGTGCTGCAAACAAAGTTTATAAAACAAATTCCGAAAACAGAAATAAATACCTTCCCAGATTTCACATATTCATACTAGAGGAGACAGTGAGATGACCTAAGTACAGCACTTTCTTTTAGGAATTCCTAAACATGATACAAAAATTTATGACCAACAGATTCATGCTACAACATGGATGAACGTTAAAGATATGCTAAGTGAATGAAATGCGACACAAAAGGCCACATACTGTATGATTCCACTTATCTGAGATATCCAGAATAGGCAAATTCAGAGATAAAGTAGATTAGTGGTTGCCAGGGACTGGGAGAAAGGGAAAATGGAGAGTAATAGCTAATGGGCATGAGGCTTCTTTCTGGAAATGATAAAAATGTTTTGGGATTAGATGGTCTTTTTCCATCTAATAATGATTGCACAGTTTGGTGAATATACTAAAAACCACTTAACTGTACCCTTTAAGAGGGCAAATTTTATGATATGTAAGCTTTATTTCAATTTTTAAAAAGTGTTTTGACCATGCTGGCTGTTTTATTTAGAAGAAAACTGTATTTAATGGGAATCTTGTTTTGTATTTTCTTCAAACTTATCTAAAACAGCAATTATAAATGAGTTCCTAACTAGCCCCTTTTTAAAACCAAAGCATTGTCAATGGTAGCTACCAACTTGCCAACGTTACAAATACCTGTAGAGAGTGATTTTGTCTAGCAATCTGAATTTCTGGTTTCAAAAAAAAAGGGAGTTCTAAAAAATGCTAGGCACACCAGCAATGCAACAATGGCCTGGAGCTAGACAGCAACTAACATATTTGTTGTTGTTCCTATTTGCCATGATGTCCACTACTCCCTATTGTCTTCTAAACACTAAAGCCCAATGTCAATTACCATTTAGCTTACTAGTTGTGAGTGTATGATCCCTAAACTAAACAACCTTCTACCCTTCTTATCTGCTGATAAATAAAAATGTAATCATATGTGATTACATTTTAACATACCAACTGCAAGAATAAAAATCATGACACTGATATGTTAGAAAAAACCCTGCAACTGTCTCAAATTCAAGTAAAATTCAGGGAAAAAATGTGTCCATTCCTTTAAACACAAAACAAATTATTTTCAGTTTACGATTAAAAATCATTTTTGTCTACTCATAGAAAGTAGTGCAGTAATAACTTTTCACCTCCATAATTAAGTGGTGGCACAAAGTTGAGAGAAAATTATCTCATTCAAATTGATTGGCTATGAGAACAAATAGCTTTACTTAGTGATTGTATGTTTAAACCATCTAGAACCCTCCTGATGCTTAAATACGCAAAGAAAAACAACTCTTTTGCATTTGTAGCTTATATGTATTTAACTGTATTTTACAAATGATGGAAGAAAACAAAATACAAGGTGAATAGGGAAATGGACCTAGAAAAGTAGATTCTACGACCTCCTACATTGTGTATATAAGGTTTTTGAGCTAAAAGCCATGGCAAGTATCTTCCAGCTTTAAAAGTTTGTGTGTCCTTATCCATATCTTCTCCATACTGCTTTCTGATAGATGGGAGAGTTTAAGAGAATTTGCTTTCCATTTCATTTTTACTATCATTTCCAGTGGCTAATAAAACATCAACATAAGGCCAGGTACTGTGGCTCTCACCTGGAATCCCAGCAGTTTGAGAGGCTGGGGCCGGCAGGATCATGAGGTCAGGAGATGGGAGACCATCCTGGCCAACATGGTGAAACCCCGGGTCTACCAAAGATACAAAAATTAGCTGGGCGTGGTGGCACATGCCTGTATTCCCAGCTACTCAGGAGGCCGAGGCATGAGAATCGCTTGAACCTAGGAGGCAGAGGTTGCAGTGAGCCAGGGTTGTGCCACTGCACTCCACTGGCAACAGAGCAAAGACTCTGTTTTTAAAAAAAAAAATTTTTTTTTTAAATCAACATAGTAAGATGACCTCTAAAAACAACTATTCCCTTTAAGCTAAGCAAAACCAAACTTACTTCTCAAAGTCTTCCAAAAGAGAGACCAGATGAGCCAATTACTTAGTAGTTTAGAGGTAAACCTCACTGTTCTTTCTCCCTAAACCATTAAGTTTACAGGGTATTATTTATTTAGTTAGAGATGGAGTCTCACTCTGTCACCCAGGCTGGAGTGCAGTGGTATGATCTCAGCACACTGCAGCCTCCGCCTCCCGGGTTCAATAGATTCTCCTGCCTCAGCCTCCTGAATAGCTGAGATTACAGGTGTGTACCACCACACCCGACTAATTTTTGTATTTTTAGTAGAGATGGGGTTTCATCATATTGGCCAGGCTGGTCTCGAACTCCTGACCTTAAGTGATCAGCCCGTCTCTGCCTCCCAAAGTGCTGGGATTACAGGCATGAGCCACCGTGCCCAGTCGCAAGTGACATTTTAAAGCTCAACATTACCACTGAATATTAACGGATATTATGTAAGACTGGAGTGGCATCACAATTTTCTCACAACTGCAATTCCAAAACACACAATGCAAAAGTGCAATTGGAATTATGTCCAACTGAAAAACACAATCCTGTTTCTGTTTAAACCTGATGATGAATCAAATATGAGGTTCTCCTAAAAGTTCACCAAATGTCAAATGTACATAGTAATGTAAATCACAAAAACGACTTTTTCAAAAATACAGGACTAGAAACAAAAGAAAACATCAGTCATTACTTCAACCATTAACAATGGAAGCACAAAGTGCCATCTGACTAGTAAAGGTAACTGGAAAACCCAGATCTCGAGCTTCACACTGTTAAAAGAGTATAAGATGCACAGACTGTACTGGAATTAGCAGAAATGGTTTCCGCTATAACTATGCTTTGCCTGCTATTCTCTAACACTGCTGTCCAGTAGAACTATCTAAAATGAGATAAAGGTTCTATGTCTGTCCTATTCAGTACAATAGCCAATAGATACATGTGGCTACTGAGCACTTAAAATGTAGCTAGCAAAACGAAGACACTTACTTTTTAATTAAATTGCTACACGTGGCCAGTGGCTCTCTTACAGGACAGAACAGTGCTATAATTTGAAATACAAGGCAGAAACTGTATTGACTAAACTGTAGAGTTTTTCAAACTTTCAAACCCCGACGCTGTTAAGAACAGGCATGATCATTCTGATACCAAATGATACACAAGGTAAGCGATCAGCCTAAACATAAAATAAAATTCACTTATGAAATGAGAATTCTTGATTTTACTTGGACTCAAAATTTAAGGTACAATACTTACTACGTAATATGAAAAATACTTCTCAGGTTCTTCCCCATTGTTTTTGCAAACGGGGTGCTCACTTTCAAAATAGTTTCCCAAAGCATGCAAGTTATTTTCCCTTCAAATCTGTTCAACATCTTCCGTTCAAAAAAACAAATGGCAAAAATTAAGTTCTCAGCACTAGTCAATGTCCTGTGACAAAGTAATGTGTATATTTCACACATTAATTTTCCTTTTCCTTAAAAGAGGATAAAAATGTTTGGCAAGGTCCGGATCTTTCAAAACCCTATTACCCATTTTTGCAAGTTGTTAGGTGTACCAATCATTCAGATACAGTTGCGATTTCGTTCCTAGATACAAAGCATTTTTGCAGTTCCAGAGTCACAAGTCTTTTTGGCACAGGTATTCCTTGACCAGCTCTTCCTAAGTCAAGAAAAGTAACAAGATGGTGCACAAAATGTCAAAAGAAAACAAGTCTGGAAACTAGCACTGAGTAACTAGTCGCTAAGCAGAATCAACTGCCTTTAACCCGGAGAAGAGTGCCCCACACTACCCAGCCAAGCAAACAGAGCAAGGTCGTGACCCCGGGTCACGGCCGCTAGCACTGCTCCCGCCCGGCAACGGGAAGCCACCTGTTAGGCCCGAGCCTCACCTGGCAAGAAAGAGGAAGAGCTTGCCCGGCAGCTCTCCCGACGCGAGGGCGGCGAGCTTGGAACCCGCCCCTTTCGCTGCGGCGGCTAGACCCCCGGCGGCACGTGGGCTTCACCGGGGCCCCGGCGGCTCTGACAGGCGGGTCGCCCCCGGCCCCCGGCCCGCCGCTTTGCGCCGGTCCCTGAAGCGGGACCCCCGTTTCTCTCGCATCCACCCCGCTGAGGGGGCGCCCAGGCGGCCCACACCGCCGGTCCGCCCTGCTTCCCTTCCTCCGCGGACGGCGCGATCCCGCCCTGCCGCCCCTCACCTACCTGGTCGCGGAGTTTGAGGAACGCCATGGCGGTCCCAGCCTCCGCCGCCTCCGCTGCCGCCGCCGCCCGGCCCACCGCTCCGCCCCAGTAGCCTCGGCCGCTGCCCCGGACCGGCGGGTCGGCGGCCGGCTGCGCTGAGGAGACCGGGCAGGGGGCGGCGCCGCTTCCCGGGCCGCCTGCCGCCGCCGCCGCCGCCGCCGCCAAGAGGTGAGGAGCCCGGCCGGTCCCGCCTCCTCCTCTGAGGACTCCCCGCCCTCTTCCTTCCTTTCTTTTTCTTTCCCTCTGCTGCCTCCCAGAGCAGCCCTACCCGCTGCCGCCGCCGTCGCCGCCACCTCCTCACGCCCCCTTCCCGAAATACCCTGGCAGCCCCCGCGGCCGCGCCGTTCCAGCCCGCGGCAGCGGCGGCATCCAAACTCCACAATATTACCACCACCGCCTGCCGCGATTGGCGGCCGCGCGGGGGAGAGGCCAGAGTAAGCCGAGCGCCCATTGGCCACGCCGCCGCGCTCGCTGGTGCCCCCCGCCTCCAGCGGAGGGAGGGGCGGGCAGAGGAAGCCGCGAGGGTGGGCGCGGAGCCGCGGTGCGGGCGGGGCGGAGGAGTAGGGAGGGGCGCGGGCCGGTGGAGGGCGGCCAGGTGTCCCGGCTCCCGGGCGCGCGCCTCAGGCATGGTGGGCGGAGCCCGGGGAGGAGGCGGGTGGGGAACGGCCCGGGACTCGCACGTGGAGGTATAGGGCGGACGCCTCCCTCAGCCAGGGCAAGACTGAGGAGGTGGGTGAGGGGCCGGAAGGGATGGGAGGGGTGGACACCTGGGGGCTGCAGCGAGTGGCGACGGGTGAGCCGGACTTGCACGTGGAAAAAGCATGAGAATGCGCCCCTAGGTTTGGGGAGGGTGAGGGAGCCAAGGAGTGGGATGAGAGGTGGTCTCGGAATGGGGGGTGCTGCTGTCCTCCCGGGGGGCTGCGGGCCGAGACCGGGTGAGGGGCGGGGGTGATGCTTGCACTCTGAACGGAAGGGCGTCGTCTTCGCAGCCGAACAGGTTGTGGACACCCAATCCTTTTTCTGCCCGAAATCCCAATCCGAAGCTAAACTGTGTGGTTTTTCCCTTGAAAGCTCCGCAGCCAGGCTTGCTGCCTCCACCCCTTCTTTCGTATCTGAAGGGTTTTGTCTCCCACTCGAGAGAAACCAATTTTCTTTAAAAAAAAAAAAATGTGCAGGATTTCCAATAAATAGCATCCTTGGATGGAGGAGAAGAGGAATGACTCCCTCACCCTGCTATACACACCCCCACGCCACCCCGCAGCTCTGAAACGGCTTTTCTTTCTTAGGCAGCCGCATGCTGTTGCCATTCCAGGCTCGTGTGGGAGAAGATTGTTGTGCGCCTGGGTCTGTCTGCCCGGGCGGCTCCAGCCCCTGGTTTATAAAAGGTGCAGATGGTTAAAACACAGACGTGTGACGTCAGGCTCGGTTTTTAAAAGTCCCCTCTTCCCCTACATCAATTGTGTCTCCTGGGATGGACTTTATTTAGAGAATCGATTCGAGCCTAATGGCAGACTAGAGGATTGGAGACCTTCTTCAGGACTATCAGGTTATTATAATGCTGCACTTACAACAAAAAAACTTAGCTTTAGCCATACAGAAAAATGAAAATAGAGTGCAAGATCAAAAACACCTGATTAACTGATAGTGTGACCCTTCCAGTATTCTTTAACATAGCCATGTATGTCATGGTTCCATTGAAACAATTTCTCAGCTAAAATTACGTCCCTCATCGTGATATTTTCTACTTAAAATACTTAAAATGGAGGAGTTCTCATAACTGATCTAACCATCATAATGAGGCTAAAAAGGAAATTAAACTGCTCTTGCTTTGCATTCTCTTCAGTAGCTCCTTTCCCCTTTATTTCAACTCCAGCAGATAAAATAGGGATGCTATTTGTCACTGAACCCCTCCTTATCAGTTCAGTGAGGGTGAATGAGTTAATGTTGTGAAAGCATTTGAGTTCTCCAAAACAAAGGTGTTGTGATAATATTACTAGAGTACTTTGTGATTATAAATTAGATTTGTAAACTATTACCTATGTGCCATATCCAATCCAGTCTAGTTCTATCTTAGTCTAAGAGTGTTAGGATTTACCCTCATTTTTAAGTAAGCCTGTTAAGCAATATGGATGTTGAGCCAGGAATTAATACATTCTTACTCTTTCCCCCAAATAATCTCTCCTTTATGTTAAAGTTCTGGAATTTAAAAACATGGTGAGAACCTGATTAGGAACATGGCAAAGATTAATTTTTGGGAGAATGTAAGTGTATTTGAGAGTATGAATTTATGGATGGAATATGCATTTTAATGGATTTTGTGATTGAAGCTATGTAAATTTTCTAATTAACAATTATAAATGAAAGTGTTTTATGATGCACCATCTGCATTATAGTAAGCATGTAGCTCTCCTTATAGATGATGCTTCAGACCTAGCTGGGTTGTCATTCTTCTGCACCATGGACACCATTTAACCTCTCTATATCTCAGTTTCAACATTCCTAAAAAACTAAGGTTAGCGTTACCTGGCCTACTTATCTCATACAGTCAGATAAGATAATATGAAAGGCTGTGGAAAACTCTGAAGGACGTTACAATATATTATCATTATGACGGCAACTACAGGGTACTTCAAAAAGTTTGTAGGAAATAGAATTAAAGATTAAAAGTAAAAATATAAACTTTATTTCTCAACATAAGATCTGTCAAGTTCCAGATGATAAGCAATAATACCAGCCATTTAGTTTATCCCTAAAAAACCAAGAGTCCTGAGAATTTAACCATGTCAATACAGTCTTTTTTACATTAATAACATAACGTTAATAACAGGAGAAAAATGCATGGCTTTTCAAAAATTGTTAAGATTAGGAAACAAAAATAAGTCAGAAGGAGCCAAATTAGGAGTATAACGTAGATGCCTAATGGTTTTCCATCAAAACCCTAACAAAATTGCCCTTATTTGATGAGAGGAATGAGCAGGTGCATTATGGTGGAGAAGGACTCTCTAATGAAGCGTTATTAAGTATTTTCCTGCTAAAGCTTTGACTTTCTCAAAATCACTTTGATAATAAACAGATGTTATTGTTCATTGTCCCTCCAGAAAGTCAAGCAAATTGTTTTGAATATTGACTGTTGCCATGACCTTTGTTCTTGACTGATCTGCTTTTGCTTTGATGGGACCCCTTTTACCTCTTGGTAGCCATTGCTTTGATTGTGCTTTGTCTTCAGGATCATACTGGTAAGGCCATGTTTCATCTGTTAGAATTCTCTGAAGGAGTGTTTTAGGGTCTTGATCTTACTTGTTTGAAATTTCTACTGAAAGCTCTCCTCTTGCCTGAAACTGATCTGGGCCCAATGGTTTGGGCACCCATTGAGTTGAAAGTTTACTCAACTTTAACTTTTCAGTCAGAATTATGTAAGCTGAACCAATTGAGATGTCTCTGGTATTGGCTATTGTTCATGTGGTTAATCATCAGTCTTCTTCAATTAGGGTACAAGCAAGATTTTTTTCTCACAAATTGATGTGGATGGTCTGCCACTGTGGGCTTTATTGTCTTGTCCCTTCTTCTTTACGAGTTATCCATTTGTAAACCGATTTTGAGGGGGTGGCATTGTCCTCATAAACTACTCATAAAGCATCAGTGATTTCACCCTTCTTGCACCAAAGCTTCACCATAAATTTGATGTTTGTTCTTGCTTCGATTTTAAGAGAATTCCTGTTGTTCTAATAGGGGCTCTTTTTCTTCTTCTTTTTTGAGACAGAGTCTCCCTCTGTTGCCCAGATGGGAGTGCAGTGGCATGATCTCAGCTCACTGCAACCTCCACCTCCTGGTTCAAGCGATTCTCCTGGCTCAACCTCCTGAGTACCTGGAATTACAGGCATGCACCACCATGCCCGGCTAATTTTTGTATTTTTTTAGTAGAGACAAGGTTTTACCATATTGGTCAGGCTGGTCATGAACTCCTGACCTCATGATCCGCCCACCTCAGCCTCCCAAAGTGCTGGGATTATAGGCATGAGCCACTGTGCCCAGCCATAGGGACTCTTTTCAACGCTGCAAACTGTGTCCTGTTCAGATACATTATAACAAGTTAGTAAAAGTTTATGTTCGTGAAAAAAAATTGAAATCTGGCAAGACACAGTGGCTCATGGCTGTAATCCCAGCACTTTGGGAGGCTGAGAGAGGTGGATCACTTGAGCCCAGGAGTTTGAAACCAGGTTGGCCAACATAGTGAAAGGCTGTTTCTTCTAAAAATACAAAAATTAGTCAGGTGTGGGGGTGCACGCCTGTAATACCAACAATTTGGGTGACTGAGGCACAAGACTCGCGTAAGCCTGGGAAGCAGAAGTTGCAGTGAGCCAAGATGCCACTGCTGCACTCCAGCCTGGGCAGTGGAGCAAGACTCTGTCTCAAAAAGGAAAAATTAAAATCCATGCATATGTTTTTTATAATATGTATTTTCCATGAACTTTTGGAAGAATCCTTGTACATTTTCATAGCTGCCGAGAGGGTAACAATTGTTTATTCTAAAAAAAAAAAATAGAAAAAGTCTATACAGCCAGGTATGTGCCTGTGATTCCAGCACTTTGGGAGGCCAAGGTGGGCAGATAACTTGAGGCCAAGAGTTTGAGACCAGCCTGGCCAACATGGCGAAACCCTGTCTCTAACAAAAATACAAAAATGAGTTGGTTATGGTGGCGCACACCTATGATCCTAGCTACTCAGGAGGCTGAGGCACAAGAGTTGCTTGAACCTGGGAGATGGAAGCTGCAGTGAACCAAGATTGTGTCACTGCACTCCAGCCTGGATGACAGAGTGAGATTTTGTCTCAAAAAAACAAAAAAAGAAGAAGGAAAAACAAAACTATGCAATTGAGCAAAAATAAGGCTCATGTTCAAATTCTAATATTTTGTAAATCTTTATTATAAGACTATTCCGGCTTATAATAAATATTTAAATATTAGGGGAATTCTTGGCACCAAAAAAAGAAAAATAGAAAACCATATCACTGATGTCAATGGGGCCAGGAACTTAATTGTTGCCAGTAATAATCTCTTTTTTCTCTCTTGTTTTCTACATGTCTTTTTCTTTCTCCATTACTACATCCAGTAGCTCCACTGACACATTTTAAGTACTCTGCAATGATGAAAAGAGTCAATATTCCTGACACATCTGAAGTAATGACTAATTGGTTGGACTAGACTCATGTGCTCATGCCTCAGACAATCGCTACTGCCAGGTCTTGGAGCTGATGACAGTCTCCATTCAGAATTCATGTCCAAAATGATAGAAGGAAAGAGTTTATATAGATATGACCGCCAGGGAATTTGCTGTGAGCTAGGCAGTCACACCAAATTTTATTTACTGTTCTACTATTGTTTTTACTGTTAGGTACTTGCATAGCACTTTATATGCTTACTTCATTTAAATTTTCTATTAACCTTTTTATGTTGGGAACTGGAGCCCAAAGAAATTGTGTATTCCCAAAGTTACCCAACTAATCAATGGCAGGGCCTGGATGCATAAGGACCTTGAAAGCCAGAAGAACAGCTTATGTGGTAGGAAATAGATAAATATTAAAAGCTTTTTAGCCAGATAATCCCTATCTTATGAAAATGCACATAATAGACTAACAATGCAGCAAAAGGGCGAGGCGCAGTGGCTCACACCTATAATCCCAGTGCTTTGGGAGGCCAAGGAAGGAGGACTGCTTAAAGCCAGAAGTTCAA